CTGATGTCTTGAAGGTCACGTGATATAATATTATGAGAAAGATTAGTAAGCTTAGCTGAAAATGCAGAGCGAGCTTGAATATTAAATCTGAAGAGACTATAAGGATAGTAATGAATTATATCATTTAAAAGGTAGATACTGTCACCCTTTTTTTAATTCATCAAAGTTAGCTTCTTCATTGAAGATAATTATAACTCTTTGCCAGAAATTTTTAGTTTTTATAGTAAAACAAACAATATTTTTAAATCTAAAAAAATAATTTATGTAATCTAGTTTCTGTAGTGTCAAGGAGAATTTCTGTAACTATGATCGACTGATCAGGTATGTAAGGGCAGATTTTTTTATATCCAATGGTTGAAACATGGTCTTATTCATATCAGAAAATTGAAAGTTGCAAAAAGTATCACGTTCAGATTTGTCTACAAAGACAACTTTAATGATAGCTTGATTTTGATTGATAGGTATTTTTCTCTTGTAGCATTAACAAATGAGTTGTATTTGTTATAGCATAGATCAGTGATCTTTGAAATCTTCATTTAAGGGTTTAGTCCAAAGAATTTTTCAGTTAAAATATACGTGAAAAATTTGATGATTTATATTGAGGGTACTTCAAAGTCAAGGGTCGAAGTGTCTAAAATGTTTTTTGATATGTCAAAGGACTCGTTGATACTCATAATTGATTTTGATGCAGAACTTTTCCCTTTGTCAAGATTATAGGTTGAACTTTCTTCAATTAGATCAACTTCCATTATTGTGGTGTCTTTTGGAAGGACAGGTGTAATGGATACATTTAGATACTCTATAGTGAGATCGTTATTTAAAGTTTGGGTTGTATTTTATTTTTTTGTTGGTTATTTGTTAATAACTGATAACGCAGAGCAACTGTGATTAGCATTCTTTCTTTTATTTTTTCTTAGCATTTTTGGTGGATTGTTAGATCGACAGAAAAAGTTTTTTTTCTCTCTTTTTATATGCAAAATTCTATTCTATTTATATAAAAATTAATGTAGATCATTTCTATAAATCCTAATCTTATTCCTATTCTATTTCTATAATTTCTAATTTCTATTCCTGTGATTTTCAATCCTATTCCTGTGATTTTTAATCCTATTTCTGTAATTTCCAATCCTATTCCTGTCCTAATTTTTTTTTTCGATAAGTAATTTATCCTTTTTTTCAATTATTAGTTTAACCATATTCTGTATTTTAGTTTTTTGATTAAATATTTATCTGTTAATTTTTTATTTAGTTAAATATTTCTTTAATTTTCCTTATAATGTCATATGATATTAGTTCTATGAATTTTAACTCTAAAACATATAATATAACAATACAGAATTTTATTAGATGATCAATATGCAAATTAGAACAATATTATATTATTTAATATATAATTATTCTTTAGATAATTAAAATAATTCATATTATTTATAAAATAATATTATCAAAATGTAAAAACATATTATTATGCTAGCTTTACTAATTAAGCTTGATTAAAATAGTCAAAAGATCTATATTTTAGTGAACTAATATATTGAATGTTAAATAATTAAAATATTTGAGAAAATTATATATTATTGAAAAAAAATAAAAATAAAATAAAAATAAAAACAAGTTTTAAATAAAAAGATTTAAAATTTTTTGTTATAAAATAAAGAAAAAAATATACTATATAGATCTTTTACTATTAAAATAAAGCATGATTTAAATAAAAAAACATATTTTTTGTTTAATATAATAATATTTTTATTATTTTTTTATTGTCAATGATCTAATAAAGAAAATTATGTGAGTTTTAATTACTTAAAAATTTTTAAAAATACATATTTTAAAATCATTATAAAATCCTGAATATTTCAGTTATATATTATCAATGATAATAAATAATAATATACTTAACATTACATATATAAAAAATTTTTTTATACTTCTTAATTGACAAATAAATTTTATTATATTATAATATAAAATATAAGATAATTACAAAAAAATTAATATTTAATATAATTTCCTTTGATTTTAATTACTGCTTTAACCAGATTAAGCATATTTAAAATTAGGTGATAATATGTTTTAATTATGATTTTTTATCACTCATCTTATACTATTTTAATTAATTTTTGTTTAAACTTAGGTATAGGCTTTCTTTTTGAATATAACTATTTAAATAGTTTTAAAAATTCTCTATTGGATTAAAATTAGGACTTTGTATTATTCAATTTAAATTAAAATACTAAATGTTCTTATCTACTAAATACTATAAGTTGAAGTATAATATAATATTCCATTTTGCTAAAAAATAGAGTTATGATAATTGTTAACTTATAAGATAAAATAATTTATCAGAATATTAATGTATTTATCAGAATCATATTTCCTTTCACTACAATTAAAGGTCTAACTTCATATCAACTAAAACATTTCCAAAATATCACTAATTTTTCTCTAAATTTTATTGTAAGTTGAATACAATTTTTATTGTATATTTCTTCAGGACTTCTTCATACTTTATTTGGTCATTTGATTAAAAAAGAGAAAATCTTGATTTATCTGACTATATTACTTGTTTCCATTTCTTTGCCCAATTTTTTTCTTTATATTATTTTAAGCAGTTAGTTTGATGATTATCAGTTAAATGAGATTTTTTTTTGCAATGTAACTTCTAAGACCTTCATCATAAAGGTAATTTCTGACTGTATTATAGTATAAAGTTATATTAAGATTGGTATTAAACTTATTTGTCATATAACTAAGAGAAGAAATCAATTAGTTTGTATAATACATTTTAAAAACTTAAGTATCACATTTTTATGTATTTTAGGTCTTCTAGAATATTTGTTTAAGTTTGTAGAACCAGTTTTTTATTTTTTTTATAATATCACTTATAATACTAGTATATATATTAAGTTATATAGAAATGATTGTTTGCTTAGTACCAGTAAGATATATACTAATTATTCATTCCTAGTTATCATTTGAAACTTTATTTCTATATATTAAGAACTAGAAGAGTAATATAATAATTTTGTTATTATTTTTATTTATATGTGCAATAGGAAAAAATCAGTGATCATAATAATTTAGGATAAAAATTCATGTAATAAAAATCTGAATATTTATTATAAGCTAGTATAAAAAATTTAATATTTAAATATATAAATATAATAAAAGGTTTTTTTTATAAATAAACTGAATAAATATTGAAGTTTTTGATTAATAATAAGTGAAAAATAATTTAATATTTATTAATACTTTAAGTTTTTGATAATATATTATAATATATCATTAGGCAAGAAATTGCATAGTTCTTGATATCAAAAAATAACAGTTATACCTGTAATTGTTAAATAATAAAAAAAAATAAAGAATTCAAAAAAAAACTGGATATAATCATAACATTCTTAAATTTTTATGCAGTTTTATTATACTTTATATTTTTAAAAAAAATATTTTAAAAAGATTAGCTGTAGTCTAAAAAATAATATTATTTATTAAATATAAAATGAATTATTTGTTATTTAAATAATATTTAATAAAAAAATAAAAATTTTTCTTAAACTTTACATTGCACAACTAATAATTATTAAAAAAATATTTTTAATCTACTTTTATTAAATAAAGAATTAGCAAAGCTATTTAATATTTACTAAATCCTTCTATTAAAAAAATCTTTTAATAATTATATAATATTAAATAATTATATAAATAAAATATAATATATCAATAACTAAGAAAATTTCATTACTATTATCTTTAAAGAAAAGAAAAATTTTTATTTAATAATGATCAAGATTTTTTTATGATCAAATGTTTACCATTGAAATCAGCAGAAACTGTCAGACCTGTAAAATGTGATATATATATCAAATATATCATATCTACTAAATAGGATATATTTATAATTTATATCATTTCTATTATTTATATTATTATTATTATTTATATCATAATTAGTATATCTGTTAGCTCTGTTATTATTGTCAGTAGTATCATAATTATTATAGATTTTCTTTAATTGTAATTTTTCTATATAAAGAACATAAAAATGCTTTAGAAAAAGAACAGATTCCAATTAGATTCCAATATTGTATTTGATATACATTTAATAATAATAATAAACAATCTTAACATTTTGTAAACATAAAATTTATAATTTTATTCTTGTTAACTAAATAAACTTTTTAATAAACAGCATGTCAAGTTGATTGGATTTAAGTCATAGCTATTGTCTCCTTGACTTCAAATCATAGTTAACTTATTCAACAGAAAGAGTAATGTTAACACTATAAATTAAAATTAAATTTTATATTAATATAAATAAATCTCATATTATTCTTTATTTGATATTATAATTATTATATATTTTAGATATATAAAGATCTTGAAAATAAATTTTTGAGAGTAAATATTTTAGTAACTAAAAAGAATAATTATAAAAATAATAGCAATTTTTATATGCTTTCTGAGTATTTTGATTTAACTCTTGATAAAATATTTATAAAAATAGATCATAATAATCCTAAAGATTATTCACTTGTTAAAAATTAATTAAATATTTACAAAGATAATAAAATTCTTTTAATGTTTCTAAATGAAGCTTTAACAAAATATAATTTGAATGCATAATTATAATTATACAAAAAAAAGTTCAAGAAATATTTGAATTAATTAATTAATAGTATTGTATTTAGTTCTTTTGTTTATATATTTATAAACAATTTTAAATATACAGTCGACTCTATTTATAACGAACCTGTATATACCGAAATCTGGCTATAATAAACCAAATATATCAGAATTGAATTTTCTATAATTATCAGTTCTGGTTATAACGAAATAACTTAATAAATTTTTATATACCACATCCGAACTAAATTTAACCAGCCCACTATTATTATTATTATACTTTATATACTGAACAAAATTGATCATCAATAAATTATAATTAAATTCATTAAAAATTGATTATTTAATAAGTTGCCGCAGCAAAAAAGAGGCTTATGATTATCAAAGTTTAATTAATTATTTGACGTCATTTCTGACAAATATAAAACATTTGCCTATTGAAAATTTTACTCTGCCATATATTTACTTTTAAAAACTTAGTTTTCATGTTAAAAAGAAAGCGTGTTAATCTTTCAACTGCACATAAACGAGAAATTTGCGAAATCAAGGAAAAAAATCCAAATATTAATAATGTAGAACTTGCCAACAAATTTAATATTGGAAAGTCAACAATTACGGATATTTTAAGAGAAAAAGAGCATTGGCTTTCTATTACAACTAAAGAGCAAGGAAATATAAAAAAATTTCGTAATCCCAAATGGTCACAACTTGAAAGTGCTCTTGATCTTTAGGTTAATAACGCTCTTATGTTAAATCAAGATATCGACGGTCACATTCTTAAAATGAAAGCACAGTTTTTTGCTAATAATCTTCATATTGATGATTTTAACCAGTCAGATGGTAGACTCACTGGATTTAAAAAATGGCATTGACTTTGACAATTTAAAAAGCAAGGTGAATCAGCAAGTGCTCCTTCTGCTGAATCACTAGAAAATGATAGAATCATGTTACAACAGCTACTTAGACCTTATCGACCTGAAGATATTTGGAATGCTGATGAAACTGGTCTTTTTTGGAAAATGGAACCTTCTCGAACTTTGGCTCATTCTAAAGTAGCTAGACATAAAAAAGAAAAGGCACGCGTTACAATACTTTGTGCTACAAATTCAATCAGTACTGAAACAATGAATCTTATCTTTATTTACTAATATAAATCACCTCGTGCAATGAAAAATCTTAATTATAAAAACCTTCCTGTTTATTATTTCTGGAATAAAAAAGCCTGGATGCAAATTAGTATCTTTAATGAGGTTCTTCTTATACTCAATAATCAAATGAAAAAAAAAATTGAAAAATCATTCTTTTAGTTAATAATGCACCTGTTCATATTATTCTTGATGAAACTCAAGCAAAGTTAGATAATATACAAGTTGAATTTCTTCTACCAAATACTACTACAACTCTTCAACCTTGTAATGCTAGAATTATTCATTCATTTAAGTGTCACTACAAGCGTCTCTTTATTAAAAATTGAATTAATGCTTATAATGATTTACAAAATAATGTAGTACAAGAACTTGCAGATTATAATATTTACGATACTTTACTTAATGTAGCAGAGGCTTGGTCTGTAGTATTACCAGAGACAATTACAAATTGTTGGCGAAAGACTAATATTCTTCCATAAGTGAAAATGAAATACAGGAACTTGAAGAATTAATTATTTGCTTACCAGGAAATGATCATCTTACTGCAGATGATTATATTCATATTGACGATGAGGTTGAAGGCGAGCTTACTGATAAAGAAATATTAGAGATAATAGAAAATGAAAAGGATGATCCTGTTGATGAAATAGTAAAGGAAGTAGAAAAAGTAACTTTAACAGAAGCTGAAATGTGTATAGATAAAACTTTAAA